CCTTCCTGCTGCCGAGCTGGGCAGCTCCAGCTCACCTGAGGAGGGCTCCAGGACGCCACCGCGGCCGCCGTGATGGCCGTAACGGCACGAGGCCTGCGCTCTGCCGCCGACGCGTAGCTCTCGGAGAGGGGCGGGGCACGCGCGGTGGGCAGGCGGATCCGCGCGGGCAGGAAACCCACTCTCGGCCCAATCTGATAGGTTCAGTCGCCCCCTTTCCCGGTCCCTGATGCGACAGCGGTCTGTGCCACACTGGGATTGGGCGGGCCCACATGTCAATCAAGCGCCGTGCGTGGTGTGAAGGGAGCGGAGGCTGCGCCACGGAGCGAAGCGAGCTAGAGGGTGAGAAGCGCCGGGCCCGACCAGAACCGTCTTTGCTTTTCCCTGTGCGATTGCTCTGGCTGGTTACTTCGAGCCTTCCTTCTCAGCGCCGCAGGAGAGACTCCACAGCAAGAATGACTGTGTCCTGGGTTCAGCCCCCACTCTTCTGGGAGCTTCCCCCGGTTTCTGCACTTGAGGAATGTCTTCCCAGCGAAAGGTTCTTAGGAGCGGGGAGCGACAAAGAAAGACAAAGAAAAGCAGACCTGAAAATTGGGACCTGGGAGAAATGTAAGACGTGCTTAATTTGAGGCACAGACCAAAAGAAGCTGAGGGCCCGCTAAAAGTGTCCTTGTGCTTGGGCAGCTTACTTACATTACATTCTTGGCGGCAGTAGTGTTATGAAGACCACCTTCGGAGCCAGGTCTGCCCATTCTTAGGGCTCCAGCCACTGGCTGAGGTATCAGTAAGTTGGTTCTTCCCCTCGCCGGTACCTGCCTCATTTCTTTTTTTTTGAGACGAGTTTCGCTCTGTCGCGCCTCCGGGTTCGAGATTCTCCTGCCTCAGCCTCCCGAGTAGCTGGGACTACAGGTGTGTACCACCACGCCCATCTTTTTTTTTTTTTTTTTTTTTAGTAGAGACGGGGTTTCACCATGTTGGCCAGGATGGTCTCGATCTCTTGTCCTCGTGATCCGCCAGCCTTGGCCTCCCAAAGTGCTGGGATTACAGGCGTGAGCCACCACGCTCAGCCGCCTCATTTCTTAACCATCTTTGTGGCTCAGTTTAGAGTCGCTCCTCAGGGAAGTTTGCTGAGTTAGGTACCTTCTTTGGAGCATAGGTATTTTCTCCATCCGAGCTATTGAAATGGTTTGCCTGTATCCCTACCTAGATAGTAAACTCCACTGAATCAGGAACCATGTCTGTTCAGTTTCTCCCTAGGGCCTTGTAGTAGGGTAGATGGTCAGTAAATACTGTTGAAGGCATTAATATTTATTTTAATCCTGGCCCTGGCTATAAGCCTCAAAAGTTTGCAGTTTTCTGCATTTAACTTCAAATTATTTGATTGGTAATGCATGCATGTGGTTAGCCTGTGCTGTAATTTAGATGTTTGTCCCCCTAAACCTCCTGTTGAAACTTGATCCCCAGTGTTGGAGGTAGGGACTAATGGGCAGTGTTGGGTCATGGAGGTGGTTCCTTCATGAATAGATTAACGTCCTCCCTGGGAAGGGGGTAACTCTTTATTTCCCTGAGAGCTGGCTAAAAAGAACGTCGCACTTCCCTTCTTTTTCTTCCTCTCTGGCCATGTAATCTCTGCACACACCAGCTCTCCTTTGCCTTCTGCTGTGAGTATAAGCAGTCTTAAGCTCCCATCAGATGCAGATGCTCAGTCTTGAACTTTTCCAGACATCAGAACCATAAGCCAAATAAACCTTTTTTATTTATAAATTATCCAGCCTTGGGTATTCCTTTCTAGCAGCACTAAAGGGACTAAGACAACCTGCCATATGTAGGATCACAAGGTCAAGCACAAATTTATCTATCTATGCTGTACTATCCTCAGGTTGGCTGAGACAAGTAGACCATGAAACTTGGCAACAGCTACTCTATGTCTACATTCTATTATTGGCATCCAAAGTGAATATTGGCGGTGGATTTTGAGTTTATTCTAAGGGTTTAAATAGCTTTGCATGTTTTATCATGACTGGTATGGACTGAATTGCATCCCCCCAAAAAATTCATATGCTGAAGCCCTCACTCCTAATGTGACTATATAAATGTCCCTCAACTTACAAAGGGGTTATGTTCCAATAAACCCACCATAAATTGAAAATACCATAAGTTGAAAAGATCGTAAGTCAAAAATGCATTTAATGCTTCTAACCTACCAAACATCATAGCTTAGTGTAGCCTACCTAAAACGTGCTCAGAATACTTACATTAGCCTTCAGTTAGGCAAAATCATCTGACAGAAAGCTTATTTTTTAATAAAGTATTATTTCATATAATCTACTAAATAATGAAAAACTGGATGATTTTATGGGTACTCTTTAAAGTACAGATTCTAGAGTGCATATGGCTTTTGCACCACCATGAAGTCAAAAAAATCTTAAGTCAGGGACTATCTCTATTTGGGGCTAAGCCTTTAGGGAGGTAATAAAAATTAAATTAGGTCATAAGAGTGGGGCCCTAATCCCATAAGATTAATGTCCTTATAGAAAGTGGCACCAGAGAGCTCTCTCCATTTGAGAACACAGCAAAACAGATATCTGCAAGCCAGTGAGAGAGCCCTCACCCAAAACTGACCATGCCAGCACCCTCTTTTGGACCTCCCAACCTACAGAACTTTGAAAAAATAAACTTCTGTTGTGTAAGCCACCCAATCTAGTATTTTGTTAATGGCAGCCCAAGCTAATACAATGGTTTTATTTGTTGATACATTTTATAAAGTTTACAGACTGAGATATTAATATTATATTCATTTTTGAAGAAACTTGTCCAGAGTTAAAACTATTGCTGCAAAATCACCCATCAAATTGTTAGCACAGCCTGACTCAATTTTAATTCTAATTACATACTTAACATCTGATGGAGGCAGAAGGTGTGAAATCAAATACAACAGGTAAAAGACAGAAATACAGTTCTTGCCTTCACGTAGCTTACCACCACCTTAAGTGGGGAAAATTAACCCAGAAAAAAATATGCTTAAGTCATACATTCAGATTTTTTTTTTTTTTTTTTTTTGAGATGGAGTCTTGCTTTTTTGCCCAGGCTGGAGTACAGTGGCACCACGTCAGCTCACTGCAACCTCCACCTCCCGAGTTCAAGCAATTCTCCTGCGTCAGCCTCCCAAGTTGCTGGGACTACAGGCACACACCACCACACCTGGCTAATTTTTTGTAATTTTAGTAGAGACGGGTTTCACAATGTTGGTCAGGCTGGTCTCAAACTCCTGACCTCAGGTGATCCACCCACCTCAGCCTCCCAAAGTGTTGGGATTACAGGCATGAGCCACAGCACCCAGCCACTTTATCTTAATTTTCCTTCTTTAATCTTTCTCATCACTCATTCTTACCAGGAACTCTGAAAAAAAATTTAAGAAACCTCCAAAAATATATGCAAAAGAGGAGTCGAAGAAGAATAAGGAAACAGCAATGAAAAAGGAAAGCATAGACTGGAAGGGCAGATAGGCAGAAAGGCATTTATGAAATTGCACTTAGAAGGGATGCAATACATGTTTTCATGGGGTGGGAGCTGTCCCAGAGACTTCCTTTCACAGTCTGTCTACCCAGCTTCCAAATATAAACATGCACATGGCTGCTGCTTCCTCTCTTTCAGGGGAACTCAAACCAAAAACAGGAATCAGCCTTGCTAATTAGTGCTGAGTGGATCAGGGACTAACCAGAATCAGGCAACAAGAAAATGTAAGTCAAAACTTATGATCAGCCCTGGCAACAGAGCTAGACCCTGTCTCTACAAATTTTTTTTTAATCAGCTGGGCATAGTGGCACGTGCCTGTAGTCCCAGCCACTCTGGAGGCTGAGGTGGGAGGATGGCTTGAGCCCAGGAATTTCAGGCTGCAATGAGCTATGATCACACCACGTCTCAAAACAAAAACAAAATTTATCTAGGGACTACAGGTGGCGCTTTGGATATGGGCAGCTAATCTGTCTACGATTAAAAACACGCAGGTGGCTTACTTTATCAATCCCAAATAAAAGAATTTGGGAACACAAGAAAGGGAAAAATGGCCGGGCGCGGTGGCTCAAGCCTGTAATCCCAGCACTTTGGGAGGCCGAGACAGGCGGATTACGAGGTCAGGAGATCGAGACCATCCTGGCTAACACGGTGAAACCCCGTCTCTACTAAAAATACAAAAAAAACTAGCCGGGCGAGGTGGCGGGCGCCTGTAGTCCCAGCTACTTGGGAGGCTGAGGCAGGAGAATGGCATAAACCTGGGAGACAGAGCTTGCAGTGAGCTGAGATCCGGCCACTGTACTCCAGCCTGGGTGACAGAGCGAGACTCCGTCTCAAAAAAAAAAAAAAAAAAAAAAAAAAAAAAGAAAGGGAAAAATAAGCCTCCATGTCAAGACCTTTCCCAGAAACCTGATAGCTTATAGTTAGAAATTGTTACAGAGAGTCCAGGTGCGGTGGCTTACGCTTGTAATCCCAGTACTTTGGGAGGCTGAAACTGGTGGATCATAAGGTCAGTAGTTCAAAACCAGCCTGGCCAAGATAGTGAAACTCCATCTCTACTAAAAATACAAAAAAAATTAGCCTGGCGTGGTGGTGTGCGCCTGTAATCCCAGCTACTTGGGAGGCTGAGGCAGAATAGCTTGAACCCAAAAGGCAGAGATTGCAGTAAGCCAAGATTGAGCCATTGCACTCCAGCCTGGGCAACAAAGCAAGACTCCATCTCAAAAAAAAAAAAAAAAAAGTGCTCAAACCAGTGTCAGAGAATGAAATGTAAACAGATATTTGTTATTAGTTTAGTAAATACAAAAATAGATAGGTGCAAGGAGGACATTAAGCCACAGGGGAAAGGAGTTGTGTGGTCAGGTTAGTCAGGCAATTAACTAGAAAAAAGCTGTCCACATAGAGGAGCCTGCATAATAAAAAGGCATTAAACAACAGTAGAATATTGCTAGAGCAAAAGATAGCTAGAAATACAATCAATAACCAGGTTATGGAAGTCAAGCACATTACAGTTTATTCTATAGGCAATGAGAAGCCATCAAAGGGTGTTTTTGTTTTTGTTTTCCGCACTTTAAAGACGTCATTCTATCTTCCAGCCTCCATTGTTTCTGTGAGAAACTAGTTGTAATTCTTATCATTGTTTTCTTGTATGTCTTATGTCTTTTTCTATGAATGCTTTTAAGATTTTGTTTATATCTGTTTATCAAAAGTTACACTGATGTTTCTAGGTGTCTTTTTCTATGAATGCTTTTAAGATTTTCATTATATTTATGAAAAGTTACACTGTGATGTTTCATTACACTGTGATGTTTGTTTTGGTTTTCTGTTTATCCTGCTTGGGGTTCATTTCATTCTCTGGATCTGTGGGTTGCTGTTTTTCTCATTTTCTTTCTTTCTTTTTTAATTTTATCAAATTTGGAAGACTTTTATCCAGTATTTCTTCAAATTTTTTTTTTTTCTATCCCATTCTGTTTCTCCTCTTCTTCTGGGACTACAATTAAACTCATGCTAGACTTCTCAGTACTTAGTACAGGTCATTCAGGCTCTGTTCATTCTTTTTTTTCCAAATCTTTTTCTGTGTTTCAGTTTGCATAATTTCTATTGAGAGCCACTGTCTAGTAATCCCTGAAAAAATCTAAATGTTGACATTTTCCCAAAGCACAGTACCCTGCTGATGGCTATAGTTTCCTTTGGGGGAAGGTTTAGAGATATGTTAGTCAGGAAATCAGAAATTAGATGGTATTACTACAGAGAGGATTTACTATTGAGTTTTCATTGACTGAAAAAGCAAAAAGGGAACACTGAGGTCACCCAGAGGTGACAGCTGCAGGGAGCAGCTATCAATGTTAGATCTAATGAGAAGGGAGAATCAAGGTGGACTATGAGGTCTCAGAAACTCTAGACAAATGACCTGGCTGAGTATTGCTCAGACCCCCGAGAGGATGCTGTCTGGCTGATCCTACTACTTCGGGGAAGGATATGATGAGACTAGTTGTGGGTGGGGAGGATGTCAAAAGAAGCTCAAGGCTGAAATCAATTGCTGCTGCTGGAGCAAAGGGCTCTTGCTTGTTGCTGGGATAACAGTGACAGAAACTGCAAACAAATGGAAAGGAGGAAGTCCCTTCCTGCCTTCTGCCTTCCAGACTCCCTCTAATGCCCTTTATTGATGGAACCTAGTGAGACATCAGCTGGCATAGAAAAAATGTACTTTGCAGGGTTTGAGCCATAGCATTACAGAGGAAAGTATAGAAGGGGGAATGTGGACCTGAGACAATAGTTTAATAACCAGCACCATATCATTTATTTGTGCTAAATTGGTAAGAATGGCCAAAATTAGACTTAATGCCATCATATAGCCTTTTACAGACTTTTAGACCTTTTTGAAAAGAATCTCAGGATACCATGTCAATTTTCTGCTATACTGTGATTACTGTTGGTGCCTTTTTCAGGAGTAAGGAGTACGTTTACTGCAGTTTACACATACATTAGCCACAAAATCATAAACAAGGGCAGCCTTGGAAGAGATCTACATAACTGAGGATAAGCAGACCCTACCCCAACGTTAAGTCTCCGAACATCAGGGACAAAATGGCATGGACTAGGTGGGACTGGCGAGAATCCACACTTCTCCCTATTTCTGTTTCCTATGTATCACCTAATGTAGCCATAATAAGGGGAATACCAATTTCCTGTTCTAACTTTGGACAACCACCCATTGTCATTAAAAAGCCACTTCTTTTCCCTTGTTTCCTCTTTTCCTGCCTCAACCCAGCCGTATGACTTCTAGTTTTCTAATGCAAGTAGATGACAAAACAGGGTTTGGTGTTCAACATTTCACCTTATAGTGTATTTTTCACAAATGAAGGAGTTTTGTTGAACATTTGTAGAACATTTCTAATTTCTGAACTTCAGTTCCATCTGAAAGGGGTCATTTCTTTGAGTCTTCTATTATTTAGTAATAGCAGTTAATATTCTCCTTCTACTACAATTTACCTGGAAAGACACTGATAAATACCAATAAAGATACCAGATTCATAACGTATTTTATAATTTAATATTTGTATTTGAATATATTAGACTAGAATAAATTTTCTGCATTTGTATATATATTATATAGTACTCTGTCAATTATATAACACAAAAGACATTCATAGGTAAACATTAAAATGGCAGTATACGTATTAATAATTGAACATTAAGGAGATAATAATCAAGTATTCATTTAATGGGAGAGTCTAGTATTTCCTGGTAGTCCTGCCTTCTTAAATTCCTCCAGTAAAGTTTATAGCCAGCAAGGACAAAAACACTAATCATAATGATTACCCCTCCAAAAACATCATAGATACTAGGAAATATGTGCAGCACGAGAAGCTGCAAGACCATAGCTACCACAATCTCCAAATGTTGTACTGTGCTAACCAAAGCTGGATGGAATTTGTCCAAGGCATAATAAACTCCTAAGAATGCTGCAGTAGAACAGACACATATAGCAATGAGATAACTCCAGGTTTCTCCATCTAATGGGATGATGGGTTCTTGAAGAATGAACATTGTAGATATTCCCCAAATTGTCCCTGTCCAACCAAAGGTAAACAGTGCAGTCCACATGCTGATCTTCTCCTTGATGGATCTATATACTATCATTGAAAGAGCAGTGGTCAGTCCAGCCATCACAGTCATGGTGTACCCAAAGGCTTCTTTCCAGGCATTTAACAAAGAATTATCTTCATCAACAATGTTGGGGATCATGACAAGACAAACACCTAAGATGCTGCAAACAACTGTAGCCATGTCAACATAAGCCATTTTCTCATCTACAAGTAAAAAAGCCAAAATGGCACTGAAGACTGTAGTTGTGGCTCTCCACATAGTGGTCCCATTGCTGGGAGGGACTATTGAAAATGATGTATAAGCACAAGTGATAGAAATGACATTGCATACACCATAGAAGAAGAGTCGTAATCTGTATCCACTGGGTCCAAAGGGGGCCTCCTGATAGTAACACACAACTAACACAGATAAGACCTGCAAAACAGAACGGATAAAAATCAGTTCTAGAGATGGTACTTTAGACCTGTCAGAAACAAGCCTAGTGATAAGAGCTACACATCCATGAGCCAAAGCAGATCCAAACAGCACTATCCACATTTTTCGGGACTGAAAAATGTTTTTATCTGCAAAGCTCTGGAATTGTCCAATCTCATTGATCATTGGGTCTTCTGTTGGTGGAGGTAGGGTATCCATGGTTCCAAAGAAAGTTCTTCCTTTTTTTTTCATTTCACTCAGCAGACCTTTCTTTGGATTTTCTTCCATAAAATTTCCATAGTCTTCATTGATTTCTTCATATCCATCATCCCCAGGCTGGGGATAATGAGAAGTATATTTCACCATCACTGTGTTGGGATGTATTTTCACCCGTTTTTTAACTGGATATTGTTTGGAGGGAGAAGTATCCATTTCTTCAGATAGTCAATTCTATTTAAAGAAAAAAAATGACAAAAAGACATTCATTTCATTGAAAATTTAATTTCTATTATAATCATATGCACCAATTCAATGATAGAAAGTAGAGGCTGTAACAGTAGTCCAGAAAAAAAAAATAGAGATGATCTGGCAATATGCCTTATCAGATTATGGTACCTACTGGAATTGTTTACCCTTTTTTCACTCTCATCTGAAGTCTGTCCCCATTTCTCTTTGCTTGCTTGTTTCATTCAGCTCTATTTTCTATCTTTATACTACAAACCGATTTTTCCATCTTTTCTACCTGTTTCTCTACCTATCCAACAAGCAAAACACAGAAAGATAAATAATAACTTAGGTCAAACCTTTCCTTCTCATTGGGTCCATTTGTCTGTTATAAATTATAAGTCCAAAGTATTTTGTATAATCAATTCTGTATAATACCAGAATTCACCTTATAAATTATAGTGATTTTAAAATATTTATTCTGGACTCCCCATAAGTTTTGAGATATAAAAATACACTGCAATTAGAACATAAATAACATGAATTTAGTAACACTCATGCATTGTTGGTAGAAAGGTTAAATTGTACAACCTCTCTCATGAGCAACTGGGCCATATGTATTAAGATTTTAACTACCCTCTACTCAGCAATACCACTTTTAAGATTTTATGCTAAAGAGATGATCACAATATGCTTTTTACATTCTGAATAAAAAAGGGGGGGAATAATAATACATATTTATATTTGCTTACACAACAAATTATAAAAAGATACCAAGAAAACTAATAGTGGTTCAGGTGACAGGAGGAACACAATGGAAGAAAACCTTTTTGTTATTTTTTTTTACATTTTTATTTTTGAATTGTGATATTATCCAAAAAAATTAGAATTAAAATGTTTATCTGTTACTTAAGAAAAAGAATATACCCAAAAATGTGGCAAAAATATACATACAGGAGAGTTCATTGTAGCTTACTATAACGAATGTTCATACAATGGAATACTATGCTATCTATCTATTAAAAATGACAATGTAGGCACAGTGGCTCATGCCTGTAGTCCCAGCACTTTGGGATCACTTGAGGCCAGGAGTTTGAGAGGAGTTGGCCAGCCTGGCCAACATAGTGAAACGCCATCTCTACTAAAAATATAAAATTTAGCCAGGCCTGGTGGTATGTGTCTGTAATCCCAGCTACTCGGGAGGCTGAGGCATGAGAATCACATGAATCCAGGAAGCAGAGGTTGCAGTGAGCCAAGATTGTGCTACTGCACTCCGGCCTGGGTGACAGAGACTCTGTCTCAAAAGAGAAAAAAAAAACACGATGTCCACTATATAATGTCAAGTGGAAAAAAAAGTTGAACTTACTGTAAGAGTTAAATAAAATAATGCACATAAACAATCTGCCACAGTGCTGGCATGTAGTAAACTCTCAATAAATGTTAGCAATAAATTTGACTTCCTTTCACCTATAACAACTTTATGAAACACTGGGTATCTTCTACAATATTATTATTTCTTTTAGACCTTTATTTTTTCATTTGGTTCTTTCTTTCCTTTCAGCAATTTCCTATTTCTTTCCCAATGATTCCTCTCCTCCCAGTTAAAAAACAAAAAAGAGGCCAAGCACTCTGGCTCATGCCTGTAATCCCAGCATTTTGGGAGGCCGAGGTAGGCGGATCGCCTGAGGTCAGGAGTTCGAGACCTGCCTGGCCAACATGGTAAAACCCCATCTCTACTAGAAATACAAAAATTAGCTGGGTGTGCTGGCGCACACCTGTAATCCCAGCTACTCAGGAGGCTGAGGTAGGATAATTGCCTGAACCCAGGAGACAGAGGTTGCAGTGAGCCGAGATTGTGCCACTGCACTCCAGCGTCAGAAACAGAGCAAGACTCCATCTCAAAAAAAAAAAAAGAAAAGAAAAATCTTTTTTTCTTCCTCGTGACTCCCCGATTTCTTGCCAGAAACTCATCGGTTCCAAGATCTTAAACAATGGCCCAGAAATAAAATCTCATTTTGTTCTTTGACACCATCTAGGGAGCCAACTGTTGTATTCCTATTTACTCCTTTCTTTTTGAAAAGGCACCACCTTCAGCTGGAAGAAGTCATGAAAAAAGTATCACCTGTGCCTCCAAACCCTTCTGTTTCCTAGCCTGGATGTCCCATTTGCAGCCCTTCTTCCTGCACACCACTATCAGCCTAATCTGATTGTTCTTTATTTCCAACTTTTGCCAGGACATGTCAAATCATAGCTTCAGCTTCAGTCATCGCAAACTGAATAGTCTTGTTCTCCCAAATAGATTTTTTCCCTAATGTCCTCATTTATGTTTGTAATACCACAATTTCTCCAGTTCCCCAAGCTAGAGATTAGGGAATACTGTGAATTATCTTTTCTGCCATCTTACTTGCATTTGGTCACTAATCTTACTGTTTTTGTCTTTGAAATATTCCTCAGTTTTTCCCTTTCTCAGTTTTTCCCTTTCTCCTCCAATTCTATGTAACTTTTATAATTGTGGTTTGGGTTATTGGGAATTCCTATCTGGAATATTGCAAAAGCATCCTAACTAGCCTCCCTTGGATCCCAGTCCTTCTCTAAAATTTATCTATATTATCCCACTGTCACATTGATCTGCCTTTAAAAGACTCAAAAAAAAAAAAAAAACTTTTCTCAAGCTTTCCCCATTCAAGAACCTACAGTGATTTGCTAATCTCTACCTTATCAAATTTCAGCTACTCTGCCAGGCTCTCCATACCCTGGCTAATCTAGCTCAACACGTGTTGAGTACTTAGCTCAACACGCCTACTTTGCTCTGAGCAGTCAGTCCAGTGTCTTCCCTGTCCTCATTCTCCATATGTATCTTAAGCTTTTATTTTCACTAGTTTCCCTTCTGCTCCAACTTTGTAAACACTGTTTATCTCCCTTTGCAACGGAGTGTCACTCTTTGCCCAGGCTGGAGTGCAGTAGTGCGATCTCGGCTCACTGCAAGCTCCACCTCCCGGGTTCACGCCATTCTCCTGTGCGACGGAGTGTCACTCTTTGCCCAGGCTGGAGTGCAGTAGTGCGATCTCGGCTCACTGCAAGCTCCACCTCCCGGGTTCACGCCATTCTCCTGCCTCAGCCTCCCGAGTAGCTGGGACTACAGGCGCCCGCCACCACGCCCGGCTAATTTTTTGTATTTTTAGTGGAGACAGGGTTTCACCGTGTTAGCCAAGATGGTCTCGATCTCCTGACCTCATGATCCCCGCCTCAGCCTCTCAAAGTGCTGGGATTACAGGTGTAAGCCACCGTGCCCGGTCAACACTGTTCATCTTTAAAGGCCCAGTACAAATTCTATCTTTTAGAAACAAGCCTTTCCTGACCTCTAGCCACTTGTATGTTTTTCTTCCTTGTTTAAACATCTGCAGTAGTACTTCTAACCTAATATTTTGTAATCTAATAATTTTGTGATCTAGCTGTCTCAACTCAGTGGAATTTTGTTTCTAGTCACTGTGCCCAAATTTGATATGTCAAATAATAGTTATTTTGAGACAGGGTCTCACTCTGTTGCCCAGGCTGGAGTGCAGTGGCGTGATCACTGCTCACTGCAGCTTCAACGTCCAGGGCTCAAGCAATCCTCCCACCTCAGCCTCAGCTGAGACACTTGCACACCATCCCTCCTGGCTATTTTTTACACTTTCTGTAGAAACAGGGTTTTGCCATGTTGCCCACGATGATCTCAAACTCCTGGGTTCAAGCAATAAGCATGCCTCGGCCTCTCAAAATGCTGGAATTACAGGCGTGAGCTACCACGCCCCGTGGCATTATTATTATTATTTTTTAATTCAACAACTTTATATGTTATATTATTGGACACAAAGTTATATCATGCTTTCAAGATATTCTTTTACTAATTCTCAGAACAATGCAAGGTATAAATATTTGTGCACACTCGTGCCTACTTGTGTGATCCTGAGTTTAATAGAGGAAAGGATAGAAACTAGCCTGGCATATACATTTTTTAAAATATTATTTGGCTCATTTTCCCTAAAAACATCAAGAAAGGAATTGCCACATGCCTAATTCAAAAGTTATGCTTAGTGGTAAGTATATATATATACATCAACTTTTAAGAGGTTTAAAAAAAAAACTTCTCCCATTGTAACAGCTTATAGTTCACCACATACTACTAAAACAACCCATAAACCATGAGTGCATTATCAGGAGTGATAGGAAGGGTGAGTCGACCAATGTGAAATTTACCTTGTAGGCAGTTGGACATTCTGCAGTATATGGCAACTGGTCATGAGCAGAACGAAGAATTTAGAAGGATCCAATCTCTCAATATGCTGGCACAAACTGTATCACTTGGGTCCATCAATATCATTTTCCAGCACTTTTGGGAGGCTGAGGCGGGCAGATCACTTGAGGTCAGGGGTTTGAGACCAGCCTAACCAACATGGTGAGACCTCATCTCTACTAAAAATACAGAAAGTTAGCTGGGCGTGGTGCCACATGCCTGTAGTCCCAGCTACTTGGGAGGCTGAGACACCAGAATCACTTGAACCCAGGAGGCAGAGGTTGCAGTGACCCAAGATCGCACCACTGCACTTCAGCCTGGGAGACACAGTGAGAACTTGTGTCAAAAATAAAAAATAAAAATAAATAAAAGCACAGGATTTAAAGTAAAAAAAAAAAAGTTGGGTTCAACTTTACCCCTTATTAATCATGACTTTGGGTACATGATTTTGTTTTCATAAACTTTAGTTTCTACATGTATAAAAGAGATAATAATACTTATTACCTCTGATTATTACAAAGTATAATGATAAAATATATGTAAATTAAATGGCATAACTTGTGGTGTATTTAGCACACAATAAAAATTAGGTACTATAATACATAATTTTTTTTAGGTTCAGGGAGTACCTGTGCAGATTCGTTACACACACACACACACACACACACACACACACACACACACACACATATATATATATATATATATTTTTTTTTTTTTTTTTTTTAGG